AACATCTTTTGCTTTAAGTCTGCCTTTGTGCGTTTTTGCTCTCAAATCAACTGTTTTTAGGATCTTTGGTGACAACCTCTGGCATCTCTGATTTTGAGGCGTTTCCAAGCTTTTGCTTCATGACATAAATACTTGTGGGGGGTAGGCTAAACCTTCATGACTTAGCCGCCGCAATTTGGAGGTAGTTTTCACAAGTCCTTTGTCATTTCAGCCTAGTATAACTCTGCCTAACTCAAGTTAAAAATTAACATTGACTTAACATGGTTAGCTAAAAGTTGACAATTTTTACTAAAACATCTACTTAATTTAACAAGTTATAATTGTTTAAACCCTACTTAAACCCTACTTATAACTTGTTACAACTAGTTCACATACATTTATAACTTGTTATTAAATCATTTAACATCGATAACATGTTATAAAAAACAGATTTATTAAGTAGGCATAGTGAGTGCGTGGCCGAATGCCTTTACTCAGCGAAAACTTCGGCTAAATGGTGCAAAGGCGCGCCTGGTGCGCAGGTGGGTGCGTTTTCAATCTCAGCCCCTTCGCAACCGCTGGGTCATGCACGCTGGCGGTTCGAGGTTGCAAACTCAACGGGGCGTTCAGCTATTTCCTCAAGCCATCCTCGGCCCACTCACGGCAGCCGGACAACTCCTTATATGGCGCGCGACTGCTGGATGCTGCGGACGTCGGTGTAGGTCCGCTTCTCCGTGGTCTTTGCTGAGGTGTTCAGCGCTGACTGTGTCAAAGCTTGCAGTCAGTCACTTGAAGCTGCTGGACGCGCCATGAGCTCATGTCTTTGGAAGGCACCTCGCCTGTCAGGTGCAGCAGACAAAGCGCTGCAGCAGACTGTGGTGGACCTGTTGCCCCGCTCAGTGCTGAATTTAGCGGAGCGGGGTGTAGTGATCGCCGCCAGGCAGCCTCGTTCTGACGAGCACTACTGGGCATTGCCCGTGAAGGATCAGCGTAGCCGAGGACCACTGAATTGAAGATTGGTTGATGGCCACGTTCTGGAAAACCATGCCTTTCTCTTTGGTCTGGGCGACCTCGAGGTGAAGGCTGCCTCCACATGTCGGCTCGACATGTAGCAACTTTTGCCAGAACTGGCCAGGTTGGCAACGCTGGTCCACTCATCAGCACCAGCGCGGCGTGAAGAATGGCGAGCGGGCCAAGGAGCAGAAGGCACCGCTGCCAACGAGGCAAATTCGCGAGCATGCGGCAACTGCTTGGGCAACAAAAGGCGTGCCTGTACAGGGCTCAGTCCAATCGCAGGACCCTGCGCGAACACTGGGTGTACACTCGGGAAAAGAAGCCTTCGATTTGAAAGCCACATGTTACGCGCTCGAAAAAAGATGCCTTCGATTTGAACGCCATATGCGACGTGCAGAGTCTGCCAGCCTAGCTCCAACTAAACAGCCTGAATGTGGGATTTGGATGTAACTAAACCGGCGCTTCCCCTTCCGGATATCAGCTATACAATTGCAGCCCTCTTCGTCGAGCAATCGACTGCAATGTAGGATTTCCCCCTGCTTCAAACATACCAATGTACACACACACACACGCCTCCCTGGGAGGGGGGCGAAAGATTAACTAGGGCTCCGACGTCGGCGCAGCGCGCGGACAATAGGGACATGAAAAGAGGACAAGACAAAAAGAGGGCGGTTGCAATGAAAGCGAGTGGACAGGGACCACCGATGAGCCCAAGCCTGGGCCACCTGTAACCTACTTTACATGTACAAGTGCACGTATACGCTAAGGGCCGGACCGATGCGCGCGCAAAAGAAAGAAAGTTGTGAAATGACTTGAAGGCGGTAAAGACATGAAAAGAAGGACGAGAGGAAGGGCCAATGGACCTTGGAGTTTCTCGCCGTGTCAAACTGACGTACTACTCCACCCGCTGTCAGCCTACTCAAGCTCTGTCCACGTCGTCAAATCTTAATCTCCGTTTGGCGTTAAGCCTAATCCGTCCGCTGCGGACTACTCTGCTCTCCGGCCGGAAGAAGGAGACAAAACCTTGCCCGTCAAGGCCACAGGGGCACTTGTCGGGTAGACCCTCAGTCGGGAAAAGAAGCGTTCGGTGTGAATGCCACACGTCACACGGAAGCCTAAGTGAACCTTCTGGATATCAGCCCGCAAACGCAGCGCTCTTTGTTTGGCAACCGACTGCAATGGGGTTGCCCCCCTGCTTTGAAAAATACCAACAGGTAACCTTTGACCTCAAGGTGTACACACTACACACAAATTATATTTATATATGCTCTTCCGCTGCTTCCGCTCTTCATTGGTTTACTCTTTCTATCGGCCGGATGGTGAATGGCAACAACAAATGTGAACATCCAGCAAAAGAAAACAAAAGGACGCATACAAACAAATATACAAGACCCTACTCGCCTCAGAATGTAGCTACTCTCTTTGAAACCAAGGTCTTTCGTTCTTTTGCCACCACTTGTTTTTCTTTTCGTCTTTCTTCGTACCTCCTTTCACGTTTCCACACCTTGTGAAGGCGATAGCCGTGGTAAAACGGAATGATGTCATCCCGCTGCCCGTGCATCACAAATAAAGGGCACAGCAGGTGTCTCACCCGCCTAGCTCCAGCTAGAAGAGAATACTTCATCATTTGATTCCAAACAACGGGACAGAAATGTAAACAAAGTAAACGCAACTATAACAGTAAACGCGTCGTTTGCATTCGCTTGCAGTGAAACAAAACGGCCTGTCATTGGGGTAGAAGTCGAAGCAACTCCAAACGCAACTCGGTCGGCAACAAACGTCCGGTTTGGGGTCCACAACCTGCCCAAACCACAAGTCAACAAGAACGCGGGCGTCAACGTGTGTGTTTTTCAGAAAGAAATCTCACACGTCAAACATGTGTCCGGTGTGCTTTCATTTTTTCTTCACAACTCAGGCCTTGATTCCAGAAAGAAGTGGCCTCAAACAGCAAAACCAAACCATAGTGGCCTCTTGGAGAGTTTCACACACAAAAATTGACCCCAACAAAATGAAGCGATGGCAAATAGCGCGAGCGCTACCGTGCGTCCAGTAGCTAGTCGCTACCTCTTACTACTGGGTACCTGACGGCCTAAACCCTGGGCAAAAAAACAAAGTCCGAATTACGCCAGGCGGCAGGAAAGAGGAGCAGGTTTTGCGCCAGGGAAATACAAAGGGTCTGTATGTGTCTGCGCAAGCGTATGTCTGCGCGCGCTTGCATACGCATACGCGTCTGTGTTTGTGTCTGTCTGCATCGCTCCCTCGCTTTGGGTCCCTGTCACTCTCAGGCAACCTCCGATCAAGCGCAACTTTGCTTCACGCCGGACGCGTCCGTTGTTTGGCTGTGCTCACAACAGTATGCAACCTGGCGGATGCAAAATGCATGCTGTCGTCCTGGTGGGCGAAAACTACGCGCATCAAGAGTTGTATGCTGCGATAGCCGGGTGGGCATGGTGTGAAAACTGCATGCGTTGAAATCATCGCCTATCGTACAGCATCAATCATCTGGTAGTTGGCGCCGCAGCTCCACAGTAATGTCGACCTCATAACAATAAATGCCCCCTGAATAATGTTAAATTTTTCCAAAAAAGAAATAATGAATGTTCCCTAAATAATGCTAATTTTTTTGGGATCTTGTTTTTGGGGCTGACTCCAAAACTTAATATGTTTTTACTCTCAGCTGCTTCCAAATCTGATTCTGAGCTTTCAGCTGCTTCCAAATCTTGATTCTGAGCTCCAGGCATACACACCACACACTCTGGAATATTGATTTGGCTGCTGCATGTTTCTTTTAAAATTGCTTATTTGGACATTGCAATTTGCAACCTGAAATCAACCCACAAAGACCACCCCCCACGAGCAGCCCAAACCTTCAACTACTCTAGACCTCAAATAATACTAAACAATCCCTGGCTGGTTCTTTTGGCGGTTTCCTTTACAATTCCTTTATTTAGATTTCCTTTTGGTTGAACAGCTTGAGCTTTATTGAAGGCAATACTTTCTGGATGTCTGACTTCATTTCGTTTCTTGGCAATACTTTTTGGATGGCAATATTTTCATTCTCCGTTCATTTCCCTTTCATTTCCTTGGTTTCCCTTTCATTTCCTTTTCTTTCCATTTATGTTCCTTTCATTTCCTGTTATTTCCTTTCAGTCTTCTTTCATTTCCTTTTGTTTCCCTTTCATTTCCTTTTCTTTCCATATATTTTCCTTTCATGTCCTTTTCTTTCCTTTCATTCTCCTTTCATTTCCCTTTCATTTCCTTTTGTTTCCCTTTCATTTCCTTTCCTTCAATCTCCTTTCCTTTCCTTTCATTTCCAATGCAAATCAAAATTTTTCTAGGATTTTTCTGGATTTCACATTATTTGGGGCCTGCGCTTGATCAAGGGGGGGGTTTATTGTTTAGAGGCGGACATTACAAAAAGCCAGAAAACTTCACAGGCGCAGGAACAGGAATCAGAAGCAACACATTGCGGGGCGTACTTGGGCGACGCCATAGGGTTTTGGCCAGTCTGTTGCCGTGTTGGTTTTCGGCGCCCTTGGATGCTTCCACAGCGTTCCGAAGTCTTTCAAGGAAGCGTCGCTGTGGAGCCGATGGCCCGGAGTGAAAGGAAAGGTCGGCAGCGCTGCCCTTTTCGCACGCAATGAGGAAAGCGCATCTCTCGGATCCACAGCTTTTGAACACGCGTTTGATCGCCTTTGAACACTACTGTAACTGGACCTTTTTCGTTTTTAAACCTTTTAAGGCCCTTTCTTCCATCTTTGAACATGTTCTTTGCCTCTCAAGAGGCCTGACTCGCCCGCCATCGCGGGTGGAATGTTGCCCGGGCTTTAACGGTTTCAAACTCCGTTTTTGTCAGAACAAGCAGCCAACTGGAACAAAGAACAAAACAAGGAAAAAACTCTATGCCAGCAACATGAGGCGAGCGCGCCTATCGGTGAACAAGACGAAAAGAGGAAGAGATTGCGACAGGGGAAAAGGAGGACATGCGGAGGGGGCTTGCAATGTTTTCTACGTTTTTCGTGTTCGATCTTTACCTGAAAAATTTTCCTGCTTTGCCTCCGCTTCAACCCACTGAGTTGACCATCTTGGTCGCTTGGACAATCATCTGGGTCCACGAAAATGATATCCAAAATCGACTTCATGTCAGGTTTGACGTGCAAATATTTCCAAATGCGCCCGATTTTTTTCGGTTCCAAGTCTTTTGAACTTTGAGACGCCCGCGGACTGTTAACTTAACAAACTTCCGACAAGGCCGAAACGTTCGTTTTTTTCATATTTTTTCATTCTGGATTTTTGCAAGTGGCTAGGGAACTACTAGCAGAGATGCAGAAAGGCAAAGGTTCAGGCTCTTTGATTTGGTTGGAGATTTCATATTTCCCTTCGTTCGTTCTTCTGTGTTTTTTGTTTTTTCTCTATTTCTGGATTTTTCATATTTGCATTGTTTGCTTTCATTCTGTCATTTTCTTTCATGTTTTCATTTAAATTGGTCTGTTTGGTTTTCTGTTTCGCTCTCTCTGTCTCCCCTTCTTGCTTGCAATGTCATCTCTCTGGGTGCCCCAGACGAATGCAGAACCACGCCGCCTAATGGTTTCTTTGATGCCAACGCAGTTGCCGGGCCACTGGCGCAGGCAGGGAGAAAAAAACGCACGTCGTCAAACGAATCAAAGCAACAGAAGCATAAGGTTATCGTACCACGCTCAATATCAACCTGTCGGTTAAAAAATGAACGCTTCCCGCTGCAGATGCAAAACTTCTCACGTCGCCTTCCCACGCTTTGTCCATAGGCAACAATCCTCCGCGAAGGCGTCGAAAGCGCAGCAAGCGTAGCTTGTATTTGTGTGTTCTCTTTGCGCCATAAGCACTCCCTATGCGCCGATAAACTGGCAACTTCGTAGTGCAAGGAAGCAGCTCCTTGCAACTTTTTAGTGCAAATGCAGTGCGGGAAGCAGCTTCCGGGAGCTGGCCTCACGCTTGCATTTCTGGGGGTTTGGCCTCAGAACGTGCAACTTTGTGGTATATAGTGGCCTCAGAACTGGCAACTGCGAAGCTTTTGGGAGCACATTGTACTACACACGTCGCGTCTAGTCTGCGGCACACCGCGGCAAAATTTTTGCGATGCCCTGCGCCACGCACAATTTTTGCGTGGCCGCTCGAAAGCGTGTTTGCATGAGTCCGCGCCGTTGGGGAAAGGACACAAAAGTTAATTTCGCGATAACTAGCTGTCAAATCCAAGTAATCAGCTGTCAATGGTTTGGCTTTAGCCAAGCTCCATTACCAGATGTATCACCATGGTGCACCAGCAGTGGATGCATCACATCCTATAGTATATGAGCATGATGCGCCAGGAAGTGGGCACATCACATCCCACTATTTACAGAAAAGGTTTTGCAGTGTGTGTGTGTGTCCACCCCTGGACAAAGGGTCCTTTTCCACCTTTTACCTTTCCACATGTTTCACCACTGTTCCACAAGCAGGGGCGCACGGCATCCATGACCTACCGTGTGCAACGAAGCTGCGGTCATGGGTGGGAAGGGAAGGCTGATCACCTTCCTGTACCTGCTTTCAACACACTGACTCCACTGGTCCACCCTGCCGCTGTTCGTTGATTTCATGGTTCTTCATGCCTCCACCCCCCAAACAGGTTTCTTTCAGCCGCTGAGCCGTCGATCGTCCGCAGATGTGCAGCGTCTGTTCAGCAGAGCGAGGGAAACTATGTTAAACAATTCAAGTGATCTGACCCAATCACCCTGCCGTTCCCTCACCTTCCTTCCCATCGTGGCAACAGAGTCACTGAAAACCAATGTCAGAGTGTGTTTCGCTCAGCCGTCCCACTCGGGTGCTGAGTGTGATCCCCGTCACAGGGGCGCTGTTTTTGCATGGGAAAGCAACAATCACAAAGCACCACTTCTCATCGGACCCTCACAGGCAGTCACCGACACCCTCACAGAATCAACTGATTGAATGGCCGCCGGGCCCAAACACGGCAGCTTTCGTATCTTTTGACCGATCTTGCAAGAGTTCATGTCATTTCATGTCATGCTTTGACTTTTATGGATTGTGTTGGATTTGCGCCGTAACCTTTCTGTCAGAGAAACTCAAGCTTACCTACTGGAGTTCTCTAATTCGAGATGCATGACCACACGCCACACATTACATCAAGCCCACATTTACAGCCTAACTTCTCTCAACATGAACACTGTGACTCTCAGCTTCACCGTGACCACAACATTTTTGAGATCTCAGCCGCATCACTGCCGCTGCGCTGCGCCGTGCCATTCAGAAGACTTTACTGCACCGCGCTGACGTTTCACAAGCAACTCTGTGGACCACAACATGCAGTTCCCCTGGCCGTACTCCCACGCTACTCCACCACCACTACCAATTACGCAACCTCAGCCGACATTGCCGCTGACGCAGCCACATACTGCACCTACTTTCCCGTCACCACATCCCTCGGCGTATCCTTTTCCACAACCACAACCCTTTCAAACTCCACCTACCATGCCGATTCCCAATCCCACCACGATGCCCTACAGCAACCCCTCAGCCTGGACAATTGTCCATCCAGCTCAACCGCCACCACAACCCACACACCCAACCCCAGCCTTCTCATCACCAGCACCTCCTCCTTCCTACCTGGTCCAACAACTGCATCACACACCACCCACAGACCCTACAAACACTACAGCACTCCAATCACCTCCAGCACCACCACAGGCAACAATTGCCCACCATCCTCCCACAGACCCACAGTGGCCTATGCCTCAGGGAGTTTGGCAACCTTATTCGGCATTTCCACCAGTCACACAACCTTCACCGCAACCTTTGCCTCCACCACCACCTCCATCAACCATCAGCGACTCACCGCCTGCTCAACCACCACCTCAGCAACCAGCACCATCAGAGCCCCCTGCACCAGTCCCCAAAGTCGCCACGTCAGGCACCGGCTCCCAACAACCATCTCCTTCACCATCCATTGCATCAGCCCCCACCAACTACTGCACCTCCACAACCTGTTACAGACAAGCCAGACAGCACAGCTTCACCAGCACCACCACCACCGTCCCCGCACCCACCTCACAGCAGTCGCCGCCACCACCACAAAAGCCGGCGAAACCACCGTGGTCGCCACCGCCACCATCGCCGACATCGACATCACCGCCACTCAAAACACCACAGCCCTACCAGGCGACGTCGCTCGCCCTCAACTTCCACCTACTCTTACAGCCCCACACCATCACGCAGCCGATCCCCACAACCCATCGACCTACGACCCAACACCGACAACGCCAACACTGTGACCCTTCTCAATATCCCACGACAGCAGTTATCCGTCGCCCAATCAACCGCTGGCGACCTCCACCCAATTTTCAAGCCCTCTCACCAACAGACCAACTCCTCGACTGGTTCGAATTCCACGCCAACCAACTCGACTCTCCCAACCGAGCACAACACCAATACATCGCCAATCTCCTCACCGACTGCCACATCACCT